AAACATTAGCCAATGAAAAACTGTATGATTTTACTACTTTTAGCAAAATCTTTTGTAGATCAGATCTTCTGTAGGTAAACTTGTTATAAACATTCTTAAACTGTTACCAGCATTCATTTACTAACAAAGAAAAATAACATCTAATCATCATAAAAGTCAAAACTCACAAGGCTCCTCGCAGATGATACAATTTAATGACTTGAAAACCCTCATTTCTAGAAAGAAAACATGTTAAAAGATAACAAAAGGCAGAAATAAACGAAAACAGAAACAATTTACCTCAAATAGATGGGCAGAAGTCAGAAAATGAAAATCTTTCGTCAAATGCTCTTTTTTAACTGGATTTCATATGCAAATTGCTCAATTTTACATGTAAACCCAGCAAATACGCAAATTTTGGGGCTATATCAGAAGAGCGCCGAATAGGAAAAACCTAAAAGAGCGTCTTCAAATCAAAGAATTTTTTTATATAACACTTGAACCGCCTTGGTTTTTTGGATTGTGAGAAATTTGACGGCGCTCTTTTGATATAGTCCCAAATTTTGTGCGCGAACTCAATGCAGTAGTCCAAATTATGCAGACTTGAAATGATTACCTTTTTTAAGTTTTCAGAATATTTTCCCAGGATAATCAATGACTCTGAGCGACTGGGAACCGTTTTAGATCGTTTCGAGTATGTTTGAAGGAGATTTGAGTGCCTATTCTGTGCCAACCCTAGACGCCCATTACTAAATTGCTGAAGGGATTCTGACTAGGGAAAGGCGTGAATTTACCGTGGCCTTTCGCTATGAGACCGACTCCATCTTATAGATTTGACTATGGGGATTCCGAATCTGCCCTTAGTTTTTGCAAAGGACTTCGGATATTCAGCATAAAAGACTTTGGCACCCCTATTGGTTTTAAAAAAGAAAAATTTGATCTATTCTATGTATTTTCAGTCTCAAATTTCTCAAAAAACGGAAATTTCTAGGTGATTCTAAAATTCTTTCATAACGAACACAAAGCCGATAATTGATTTGATGTTTTATCTTGTTTTAAATTTACAAAATACAAATTTTCAGATAGCTGTCGTTCGAAACAGCAGCCAAAAATGGCTTTTTCTTCGGTGTGTTTAATTGAGTTTTCAAAGCGATTTTCGATATTCACTCCCGAGAACATAAAGCAGATTGTCTAATTTGTTCGGCCGCGCTTTTTTTCTTCAAAAGAATGATAAATAGCTGTTCTTAGAAGAAAAAAAAACAACTTTATCCAATCCTGGGTGTTTTGTTTTTTCTTTTTAAAAAGCTCTAACACTTTAAAATCGTTTTTAAAGCATAAAAAATACTTTAATCTTATTGAATTTATTTTCTTTTTGTTTAATTTGATTTAAAGATTTACAAAAGAGTTTTTCTGGCTGGCTATGGCTTTCAAAAGAAAATCAGGACAATTGTTGGCCTAGTTTTGGCTTTGTCTTGTTTTAGCTTGTCAGAGCTGCTTTGAAAAGTCACTTTTGAGATCTTAGAATACGATAGTTTACGTAAATGGTCACGCTTTAGAAATCGAATTAATTGAGAGGCTAAAAAATCTCTTTTTGGTGGTCCCTTGCTCTTCAGCAAATTTCTGCAAAACCCTATTCACTGTAAGATCACAAAATCCCACAATAATCTATAAAAACTCAAGAAGATTCTGTTAGCCGATCATCCAGTTGGCGAAAATTCTCACACACAAGTTACAAGCTTAATCAAAACCTGGAAATTTCTTTTCCATCTCAAACAAATTCTCTCAAATTTTCGGTTTTTCCCCTTGAGTCATCATTGGGAAATTTCACACGAGAATTTTTGATGTAATTATTTTAGTTTCATTTTAAAATTGAGTTTTCTCCTTGATCTTTATTCAATTTTTTGTGAAAGCAATGATCGAATATCGCTTCTTCAACGACTCGCTGGCACTGAATGTGAGTTTGAAAGTGGATTTTAAAGAAACAAATACTATATTATCGACTTAGGCTTAGCCTTGGGATATTTTCCGCAAATATCTAATTGATTTTCGGGCTTTTGAATGGATTGCTGTATTTGTAAAATGACTTTAATTAGCTAGGAAGTGATCGTTAACTTGCTAAAGACTTTCAAATTTCAAATACTCAATCGATTTTTTGATATTGAAAGGTGTAAAATCGAGAAAAAACCGAAATTTTATGGCTTTTTGTAATGCTGTCGAGTTGAATGGAAAATAAGAAGATTTTCAGTGAAAAACTCTTTAGATTTATGCTTTTTTCAAGCCGATTTTCGTCAAAACTTTGGATGAACAATGTGCTGATTTTGAAGGAATCGAGGATTCCGAAAGAATTCTTTTACAAGGTTTGGCAAATCGTTTTGAATGTTTTGAATAAATGAAGAATGAAGAATGCATTCCAGGAATCATTTACCTGATCATTGGCACATCATTCGTCATTTTGTATCTTCTTTGCCTTGTTGCGATGGCTCAACAAAAATTCATGAAAATCATTTGCTACAGGATACTGTAAGTCAATTATTTATGGGAAAATGACCGTAGTTTACTGTTTAAATCATTTAGCCGAATGAAACGCTTCGTGAAATCGTTTCAATTTTGGAAGTTAAAGCTCTCGTTGAAAGGCAATCGATTTTAAAACCTCAAATCACTTTTGCTATCACTCACGGATTTTTTTGTTTCTCGCGATAGTAAAACGTTGTCGCAAGAAAAATAAGGATTTTGTGCACCAAAAGCCGAAATTTGGGACAGTGTACAGACGAAAATCCAGATCCAGATCTAAGACCTATCACATCGCATTTCGCTCTCCGTCGATTTGATCACTTTGCGCCTTTTGTTGAAGATGCTTTCTTTCTGAAGTGTTTCGCCCAGAAATCAACGTTAACAACTTTAAGTTACTTCTTTTTGAAAAATTATAGCCTTTTGCGCTATTGAAACACGGTGAAAAGCGCCTGCTATGGCCTTTTGGTGAAATTTGGTTGGATAAATTGAGTTTATCACAAACTCTCGTTAAGCTTCCTTGGAAAAACCAAAACTAAAACGTCATTCTAACCTTTCAGCAAAAAGCCAGGTAAAAGTAAAAAAAGGAAACACTTTTAAACTAACCCCGTGCTGCTTTTTTGCCTCGAATCTCATCGTTTTGATTGAAAAGTTGTAGAATAGAAATGATTCATGTCTTTTTTGCCAGTTAGCCCTCCATTTTACTTTTTTATACAACATCACCTTTTATCCATGAAGTTTCAAGGCAGATAAATTTAAAACTTATTGAAAAGTGATTCGTCAGCAGTTCTATCATTAGTCAAGAGTTATTTTAGGAAGATCGAAACCCGAAGAGGTTTGTGAAAGGATTTTTGATTTATGATTCTGATTTTTTGACTTTATCTTTTATCTATCTCAAGAAGAAATCACATAATAATACCACTATAACATTACAAAAACAAAAACAAATCCAAAGTCGATCCGCATCCTTAGAATTCGATGTTTGGCGGCGAGGCGGCGAGGCGTGGAATGGAAAAGCCTCTTTACTCTATTCGCAGCTCAATTTTGACCCGTCCGACGCACAATCTCGACCCACACTTTGAAGGTTTGAAACCTCGATAAAACCTAATTGAGCAAGATCGGAAGAGCGTGAGTGTACTAAATAGGGTTAATAGAGGTGATGAATGATCATTTCATTCGTGCGAGATGTAGATAGCACCAAGTAACATTTGGGTAGCCGAAACATCAAAGTTTTCACAATAAAATAAACAAAAATGTACCACCATGTGCCTTCAACACAACAAATCATCGCTGAAAAAGAGAAATTGTACAACTTTATTTCACAAGCAAATAAAAATTCGAAAAATGACACAATCAAAGGACCAAAATTATACAAAACTCGAGGAAAACCCTTAAAATCACATCATTTCCATTTGCGGTTGAACGTAGTAGGCTAGGAAATTTGTGGGTCTCTCTATCTCTTGTGGATCTGATTGAAGCATGTAGACACAATCCCTGCTCGAGTCAATGTTTCGTTGAAAAAATAAACCGTCAATGAAATGAATCGTGCCCAAAACTTTTCCCAATTCTTTCCTTCAACTGATTTATAGCGGAACGAAAAAAGCCTGTCAACTCTTTTCTCTTTTGAGAAAATGATCCTTTTGTAGAGCGCAACACTCTACAGGAGTGTTGTTCTGTTAAAAGTTAAAAGTTAAAAGTTCTGTCACCTTCCTAAAGTTCTGTCACAGCTCAAAAACTGAATTTTATTTCAACTCTCAGCTCAATGAAAAATGTCATAGAAAATAGTAGAGCTTTTAAACTATCTAGTAGCGAGGTTCAATGGCATAGTTTGCTTCTGCAAAAAATCATGAGGGCTAGAAAATTTAGGACTTATTTGTATTCTGAATTTTCAAAAGTTTACTTTTTCAAAAATGGATATTAAACTAATATTTTTTTGATGCTAGCCCCCTAGAAAACTCATAATACATAGAAATTTATTTGCTGTCCAGTTTAGTTTAAAAAATGAGAAGCATAAATAGTCCCAAAAAATTTTTATACTTGAAATTCCAGCAAATCGTCGGCGACCTATAAACCCAGTAAGTGAGGTGACAGCACTTTTGGCGCGCCCTGTATATCGTATTCTCAGATTTCTATACTCTTGATGTATCTCTCTAGGGCTCCTACATATTGCCCTCTTATCTTCTAGATATCACAGCACCGGCTGCTGATGGTAAACGTGGCTTGTGGCCCAAAGTGGCCTTTTGTAAAAGTCTTGATACCGCAAATAAACGTGTTATTTTTTGTTTATCTAGTGGACTTAGGATCCGTTTGGCTTCCGTTTCGGTTTCCATGTCTACTATTTAATATCTTCTAAAGGAGCTCCCAAGAATCTTACAAACCAGATTTTGTGGGCAAAGCCTGGGCCTGATTCTGCCCTAATACTTAGCTTCACTATCAGCTCAAAATTTCTAAGGCACTTTAAAATCTAGTCCAGAATATCCAGAATGCTGTATTTATCAAAGGATCCATTAGCTCAAAGTGCTCCTGAATTTGCAATTGCAAGAATTTCAAAACCCGAAGATTTCAATGGGATTTCCCCTCAATTCTCTGTTAACCGGGATTTTCGATAGAAAAGAGGAAATGGGCAAAAGCAAGAAAAAAGAGACAATGAAAGGATCGTCTCCATCTCAAATTTCCCTTTTCTTTTACCCAAAAATCCCAAATAACAGAAGGGCCAAAAGGGAAAGAAAATAAAAAAAGCAAAAACCATTCTCATCGATTCTTTTTGCTTTTTCTCTTTGGCTCTTTTTTCCTTTGTGGTTAAAAGATGTGCTACATGAGATCCATGAGAATTACAGACAAAACGACAAGCAAAATTGCACATCGCAAAGAAAAAGCTTCATCCACAATTGCTTAATTTTTAAGCTAAATACCCAGCGAGTACCCCCTGGTGTACTTTGTGCTGAAAATCTCTAATTCTGGCACATCGGTTCTTCAACTTGATGACGGTTCTTTTGGTGTATTTGGGCTGTAACTTTGCAAACGTATCCCTTCTGGCGCACTAAATGCTTTATACCATCAATTTTTTTCAAAATTCATTGAACGAGTGTTCCTTTTTTCGTGATATTCAAATGAAAGTGATTCATTGTTTTCACAAAAAGACCAGAAAAAGTTCATCATCGAATAGTTAGTCTGTTTTTCATTCTCTGTAGATCATCTAGTTTTTAAAATTCCCTCTTTCATAATGTTCAAATGAAGAATGATTCGCTTTCCAAAAAATGGCCAGTAAAAATTTCATTTTGGCTTTTTGCGAAGGGATCAAAATGTTCTTTAGTTTTCTATTTTTTTGTGATCCACTTTGAGTACTTATTATCATATATGCAAATTCAAAAAAAAACTCCTTGTCCAAATACTTTGGTTTCTTTGAATACTTTTCATTCAATTTCAATATTCAATACATTGAATCCATTTTCAAGCTGGCCGACTAAACGCAATCTTTCTGGTGCACTGAATTCCTCATTTTCTTAGAACGTCCAAAGGTTGCCGCAAGAAAACTGAAGAGTTCAGTGCACCAGAAAAGGTGCGTTTACAGATTTACACTGAAAGAACAAGTCTATGATCCATTTTTCTCCATTCATTGAGTACTTTTCTTTGGATACTTTGGATACACAACGGATTATTGACATGACGATTGGAAAGTGGAGGAGAAGGGCTATTTTTGAGCGGTTTTTGTGGGGAAATTAGAAATTTATAGATACCTTAGCCAAAAAATAAACTCTAATAGTAGAAATTTAGAACTTCAGAAGTACGAAGATTCGTTTTCTGTTGGATTTTGTGTTTGTAAATGCACCTGATCTGGCACCGTCATTTTTGATTTCTCTTGCGATTTCGTCGCCGTGGGGAAAATCAAGAATTCAGTGCACCAGAAAGGGTACGTTTTCACAAAAGCTCAAAGTGCACGAAACTAGTTATTGTGTACTTTGGGTCCCAGCAAAAGCAATCTTTCTCGAGCGCTTAATTCCTCATTTTCCTTGTGATACTAAATCGTTGCTGCAAGAAAAACGAGGACTTGAGTACACCAGAAAGGGTGTGTTTACCGGTGTGAGCACAAAGTGAACCATAGAGATTTAGAGAACGAGTAGCTGCAGTAGCATTTGTAAATTTGCAAAAGCCTTACCTAGAAGAAATTTGCATACGACAAAACAGGTAATTGGACTTGTAAGCGGCAGTTTAAAGAAAGAACACAAGACCACATTAGAGTTTTAATATTAAGTATGTTTTTAGAAATCTACGTGTAGAATGTATGTAAAAGTTTAAGTTTTGAAAAGAAAAACACGAGCGGTAAAATGAGACGGATTTGAGGGGGAAAGGGGGAAAAGGAAGGGGGAAGGGGAGGAGGTTGAACTCTAGAAAAAGAAAGGATAAAATGAGGAAAAGTTTGGAAAAGCCGGAAAAAGATACATGGAAATGGATAATAGGTAAGTATATAATTATCTCTAAATAAACATATTTAGATAAACTTTCTATATAACCCCAATTTATTGATCCCAGAAGCCATTGATCCGCTTTTTATCGAATTCTTCAAAAACTATGTAGCTTGATATATCTAGAGATTTTCTGATATGTAGATAAATATAACTAGATATATAAGCAAGTGAGACAATACGTATTTTTCAATTCTCTGCTTAAAGATCGATGCCACTTTTTCTTCTGATTGAAACAGATTTCGGCTGAGCATATGTTTCTAGGTCCAAATGTTTTCGAGCAGAAATTGGATCTAGATTACTGAGATACAAGAATATCTAAACATTAGAAGAAATGTCATTGCTAAAAAACGAGGCTGTATTGATTGTTTGAGGCATTTCTTTGTGCTGAGCGAAAGTAGCAAACTTTGGCTCCAGAAGTCGAAATTTGTAAACGTCCTTGGTCTACTCAACTTTAGTTTTTTTTATACGGCACAATTTCGCAGACAATGGGGAAAATAAAGAGTTCAGTACAATAGAAAGTGTTTACAAAGTTGGGCACAAAGTAACG